ATCCGTACACTTTAGAGCTGTGCATTTGTACATATGCAGAATGTACCTTAAGGAGACTATACCTGAAGACAGAGCTGCTAGTGTCTAAAAAGCATTGCAGAAAAGCACATAGACCAGACTAACTCAGCTCCATGGACTACAGAACCAGCACACGTGGAAACACCCAAGGTGCCTCGTGCCCCATGCAGTTCAGAGTGCCTGGCTCCCTGGGTCCCAGTACCCATGGCCTGGGCACCTGACTCTGGACAGCCTGAGTCTCTTGTGCCCCAGATTTATGGGGATACAGAGAGCAGGGATGAGGCGGAGCCCATGGGCTTGGGAACCTAGACTTTCCCATCAGCACAGAACCGACCGCCACTCCTGTCCTGGTAAGTGGAAGGAACAGAAAACGCCAATTTCCTCTTTCTGGGAGGGGGTTTCCAAACCAGCCTCTGAAGGCCAGGCGTGTCTTGGCTGGTGGGTGGGGGTCAACCCCAGTGAAAGTCAAGGAAAAAAGTGCCCTCCTCCCATCCCTGCTGAAAATAACCCAAGCCATGCTACTGCCACCCAGCAGAGGGAAGGACCTTTAAACCTTGTGGCAGCTTAGCAGTTGGGGGCACAGGAGGGAGGGACAGAGGGAAGGCTGGCAGGACTCGGCCAACCAACCCCCACTCCCAGCTGCAGCTGGTCCTCTCAGGGGTGTCTGGGAGGGGCGCCAGTGTCTGTATGCTTGCGTGTGTAAGGTGACAGGCCTCTCAGCAGCCAGAGAAGGAAGCAGGGGAAGGCTGGGGGGGACGGTGGGGAGGGGTCTCTGTCCTGGAGCATGCAGCTGGAGGGGCAAGAGTCACGTAGTCCATGGGATCCCCACCTCCTCTGAAAAGTGTTTTGTCCCTGCAGCACGCACCAGACCTCTGAGTACAGGGGAGCTACCCTCCTGCAGCATGGCCCCCTTCCCCTCAGAGGCTCTTGGAGCATGCGAAGCTGGGGATTGTTGCTGCAGAGTCCCTGTCCCTGTCTGCCTTCCGCTCTGCCCAAAGAGATCGGGAGGTCCTCAAGGGTGGGTGTGGTCCAGTGGTAAGGAATTTCCCTGGAAACAGGAAGTACAAGATGTGTCAGTGTGGGAGCCCAGCAGAGCGGTGAGAGGTGGAGGGAAGGGAAGGGAAGGGAAGGGAAAGGAAGGAAGGGAAGGGAAGGGAAGGGAAGGGAAGGGAAGGGCCACCATTAATTGAACGTGCACTGTGTTCCGGGATATGCTTCCATGAATAACCTCATTTAACCCCCCAGCAAGCCAATGATATAACTGTTACTTTCCCTGTTTACAGATGAGGGAACTGAGGCTCACCATGGTGAATGGGTAGTCTAGAATCCCCCTGGTTGCACATGATTAAGACAGAGCTTGAGGTCATGATTTGGAACAGAGACCATCCAAGATGACTGTCGAGGAGATGATGACTGTCGAGGAGATGATGGACACATCAGAAAAGGGAAAAGGGAACTTCCTAGATAATTTAGGATGCACGGTTTCTATACCTGACACTTTGGTAGAAAAATAGAGCAGTAAATTTAGAGCTAAACTTGTATTATGAGTTGTGATTTGGGGGCGAAGAACTTAATTAACCATGTTGAGCCACAGTTTCCATCTCTACAAAATGGGCCTAATAATCTTTGCGTAGCATTGTCAGGGAGTAATGAATTTGACCCCACCTTTTTTTTTTTTTAATAGCCCCGGAAAACCCCAGGGGCGCTTTTATGCTGTGGGGCCCTTTCATGTGCTGTTTCCTGTGCCCAGGCCCCTCAGCCATGTTCCCATTCTCTGGGCCTCCCCCAGATCAGTCTTCCCTAAGGCCCAATCACCCTGTCTCTCTCAATTGCAGCACTTTTATTTTCTCCTGTGCACTTATCATGATCCCAAATTATCTTGCTAATTTGTTTCATTTGTTTGTTTATGGCCTGTATCTATCCTCAACTGCCAAGGCTATAAGTTTCTTGAGAGCTGGGACCTCTGCAGGGTTCAGTGACCTGTGTTCAGAGCAGCACCCGGCAAACATCAGAGCTTGCTAAGCACTAGCGAATGAATGAACGACTGTGCTTGGAAACAGCGTTGTATTTAAGTGACTGACTCTCCCACAGGCCTGCCGAGCCAAAGGGCAGTAAATGTGCGTTAATGGAGGCTTTGCTGAACACTTTGGGCCTGGCCCCAGCCCAGCCCTGAAGCTCCCAGGCTACAGAGCCATGAGGCTGCCTGGGCTGCCTGGGCTTCCGCCTGCTTGGGGGATAAAGGTCAACCCTGGCTGGAACATGAGGTACTGCACCATCTGGGCCTGCCTGCCTCTGGCCTCATCTCCTGGGCTCCCCAACCTGCACTCCATGTCCAGCCAGACCAAACAACTCAGAGTGCCCGCCCTCTGCAGAACACCGGCCACCTCCTGCCTGTGTGCCTTTACACACTCTGTTCCTTCTACCTGGTACACCCTGCACCCTCGGTCAGCCTGGCTCATTCCCCTTAGACTCACTTCCTCAGGGGTGGGGTGGGGAGTGGGGGGTGCTGAGCCTTCTGCTCTGGCCGCACCCAGGTCCCATCTTCCCAAGGCCTTTGCATGACCAGCTTTTGCGTATTTTCCCAAGTAATCTAGAGATTCCCTAGGCTGAAGCCCAATTCCTGGGACACACAATAGGTGCTTTAATAAATGCTCAGGCCCACCTTTAATCTAATTTCTGGGGCACACAGTAGGTGCTGGATAAGTGCCCACTAAAGTCAATCTGACACTTGCAGAAGCCTGGGATCTGGTGAGACACGGCAGGTGGGGTAGGAGGAGAAGATGCTTCCTCAGGAATTAGAAGGGGGCAGAGGAAAGAAGAAAGGACCTTGAGAAACTTCCCAGAAGACTGGAAATGCAAAAAGCAAAAATAAAAGTAAACACAGATGGAGGGAGGCATATAAACAGAGCTCTCAGTGAGCAGGAGAGAGAAGAGAGGAAAAAGAGGAAGAAGAAACAACTCAGAGGAAGGAGCAGCTTAGAGAACACAATGTGCTCAAGAGAACCACTGAGGACAGGAAGCCAGAGAGCAGGACAGGCCAAATATGGGGCGTCTTGTGCCTCAGCTCCATGCCCTGGGGTGACTGAGGGTGGCATGAGGAGTTGGTGTTGTGATCCTCTCCCGAGGCGATAAGGTTGGGTAGAGGCCACATGTCACCAGGTCAGGACATCTTGGGAAGTTCTTTCTCCCCCATCTCAGGAGAGCCATGGAACAGGAAGCATAGCATCTCAGACAGCAGTCACCAACCCTTGCTCTTGGCTGCTCTGGCCTCAGTTTTCCCAGCAGCACAATGGGTGCAGGTCCTCTTACTTTAAGGAAACTTAAACTCACATTGAGTTAGGGCATGAAAGCCAAGTGGACTCAGCCCAATACATATGCCAAGTATTGCATAGGGTTGATTCTTCCCAACACCCTGCTGAGGACAGGTCCTATGAAAGGCCATGTCACTGTGTCACTGGGTGCCACAGAAAGAGCTGACTTCAGAGTCCCAGAACCCAGGCTTGGCACTTGTTTTTTGAATCCCAGTGTCAAATCAATACAAGGCCAATTATCTCTGGGTGGAGGTGAGGGGCAGCAGCCAGGCCAGCTGGCCAAGAGTCAAGCCAAACCCATGGCTGGTAGGCCTGACCATTCACCGTCACTGCTGCCATGCTGTGTGGCCTTCAAAGCCTCCAGGTTTCAGGGCCAGTGATACTATCATGTGATGCGGTGCGGGGGGGGGGGGGGGGGGGGGGGGGGGGGGGAAGAAGGCCAGATCAAACCATACCATCTCTGAATACTTCAACTGATCACAACTCAGAAAATCCTTAAGAAATCTCCAAGTGTCAGTCAGGTATGGGGGGTGCTTTTGTAATCCCAGCACTCAGGAGTGTGAAGCAGGAGGATCACGAGTTCCAGGGCAGCCTGGGCTACATAGTTAAAAAAGAAAAGAGAGAGAGAGGAGAGAGAGAAGGAAGGAAGGAAAGAAGGAAAGAAAGAAGGGAAGAAGGGAGGGAGAGAGGAGGGAAGGAGAAAAGAAAAGAAAAGAAATGAAAAGAAAAGAAAGAAGAAAAAATAGCCACGTGTCAAATTGCATTTTGCAATTTCAATGAGGACTTGACTCCTGGGGTGAGAGGGTAGGTAGACCTCTGCCCCTTGTCAGGCCCCCACCTATGCCCTGTGTCCTGTGACTAGTGGGGAGAGAAGCTTTTGGAGGTAACTTCTATAGCGCTTCACTTGGCCAGCTGGGCTCAGGAATATTTACTAAAGTCCTGGTGAACCCGGGTGGCAAGGAGAGGGGAGGGGCTCAATCTCAAAGATCCAGAGATCCCGTAGATCCAGTTTGGAGATGCCACAGCTGCAGAGGCTGTGACAGGAGAAAGAACGGGAATGGGGAAGGGGGGGAACGCTCCCTTCTGGAGTCTTCTAACTTGTCAAGGGATCTCTCTGCACCCCACCCTCTCACTCCACCCCCATGCAGGCTGTGGGGACTCACTTCATGACCCTTGGGGCTTGGGGGGAGGTGGGCAGATGAGGGCCAGTGACTGACAGCAGGATGCCCCGGCTGGGGAAGGAAGTATAAATATAAAGTGGTCAGTGTAGGACTGGACAGAGGCCATATGAAACACACGGTACATTCCGGCCCCAGCGTAACAAACTGTACCAGCCTTTTTGAGAGCTGAGAGCCCTGAGAAGGGGAGGGAAGAGAGCAGAGGTTCTTCGGAGGTTGGCCCTGCCTCCTCCTCCCCCCACTTCTCCCACAGCTCAGCACTGCAGGGAAAGTCCCGCTGTTCCTTTTGCAACCCCAGGAACCCAACCAACCCTTCTCACACTCTGTACCCAGTGTTCCTCTCACAGCTCCAGACTGGGAGGGAGCAATGAGTGTGCATGCGTGGGGGAGGGGGGCAGCCACCCAGGTAACGGAGGGGAGGTGGCAAGCATCCCTTGGCCACTGACTCACAGAGCCACAGCCTGTAAGAACTGCAAGGGAGGGACAGATGACGGTGAGGAAGTGCCTTGCCCAAGGTCACACAGCCAGTTGTTCACCAGGGTGGGACCAGCGTGCATCCAGAACCGGGCAGTGCTGGGCACTCTTGGGTGTAGTATGTAGGAGTGGCAGGACAGGGAACAGGCAGTGCCCAGGGACTGAGGGTGGGGAGCCCACATCCAAGGCTGCCCTGATGCTTGGGTTGGCTCTGAGTGGGTGAGGCTTGGATACTGTCCCCTCCAGCCCTGCCAACCCCCCCCCTTAAATATCAGAGATAATGCATGTAAAGTGCCCAGCATGAAAGCTGTTTTGTGGTGATGTCAACCAGAATGAGTCACCTCCACCCCTCCCCTATCCTCCTACACACACACACACACACACAGGCAGAGCTCAGGGCCTAGAACCTCCTGGGATCTCTTTCACATCACCCCCTTCTTCCTTCCGGAGTCCCTATAACTGTTACACACATTTGGTACTTTACCACCTGCTAGCTTCAGTTATTATTTAACCCCACATACCATGTGTTTGTCTCTTCCACCGGCCTGCAAACTGTCCAAGGGCAGGAAATCATTTCAATACACCCAATATTTATTGAACATCAGCTTTGGTGCCAGGCTTGGCCTGTGAGGGATGAGTTGGGGTGGGGTGGGAGGAGTCCTCAAAGGAGAAGCAGACTTTTTTTCTGCCTCAAGGACTTTCTAATCTGGTTACAACGGGATTAGTAAACAGATCGCTAGAATAAGAGACAGGACACACGATGTGCTATTGGAAAGGTACAAACTGAGTGTGCTGGGCGTTTGGACTCAAACTTGGCTGGCAGCATTTCAAGGGACCTTTATGACTGGAGCTGGGAGAACGGGTAGACACGAGGACAAGCACATGGCACAGCAAATGTACAGGTGGGAAGAAGGAAGAATAAAGGACTTTAGGAACTGTGTCAAACTTTTTCATGACAATTTTAGCAGGACCCAATACAGGGCCTTCCTCATGTTCAGCAAATAAATCTGTTCCCTCCTTAGTTTGGAGAAGGTGGGACTTCAGGACCAGCTCAGTAAGGTCTTTCTGCAGGATGGGGCAAGAGAAATCATGGCTCTTGAATAAACCAGGGTTTGGGGCTGGTCAAAGGGAAGAGTCAGGCTCCAGCGGCAGGTTTGGGGTCGTCTTCCTTCACCCTGACCTTCTCCACCACTCCCACCCTCCACTGTCTGGGCGGTTCCTAGTCCCAGCGTCCTTCCAGGGGTTTCCCAAGCTGTCCAAAAGGGCCGGGCTTGGTTTGCGAGCGCCAGGAATCCCATGTTCCTGGCTTCCGTGAAAGATCAAGGATGGGGAAATGGAAGAGAGAGGCTCTTTCCGGGGATCGCTTGAATTGGCCCCCTCAACACGGGCTTCCGTTGTCACGTGACTGCATCCCAGGGAGGTCCGAAGCTGGCGTGCTCCCAGGTCCGAGGCTGGCGTGCTCCCAGCCATTCTGCTCCAGCCTCCTGCACTGACTGCGCGCTTTGGGGGCGCGGGCGGCAGCCTCGGAGGCTCTTTGTCCCTCGTGGACCTCCCAACACCTGCCCCCCACGAGCTGTGCTAACCCAGGGCCCATCCAAGCCTGAGGTTCCCTGGAGATGGCTGGCTGGGTGCTCCAAGGCTGGTGAGTGCGCAGGCCTGTGGGGACCCGAGGGATGCGCTCTCGGAGGGCCGCGGTGGCCGGGAGGCCGCGATCGCGGGAGGCTGCGCGCCGAGCGCAAGCCGCGAGCACAAACAGGGCGAGGAGGCTGGTGTGAGCGCCTGGGCCCACTGCCAGCGCGCCGGGGCTGGAACACAATGTCCCGAGCGGGCGGGCGGGCGGGCGGGTGAGCGCGAGCGAGAACAGCCTGACTCAGCAGCTGGGTAAGTGGGTGTGCTCGCTCCCCAGATCAACCGCTCCTGCAGCCTGCGGTCAGCGGCCGCCCGACGCTCGCTCGCTCGCTCGCTCGCTCGGTGGCTCCGCGAGCGGGAGGGGCAGCGCCCCAGCCTGCAGCGCGGGATCTCCACGTGGCCCTTTGAGCCGCCTGGACTTGGCTTTCTTGCGCTGCGGGCTCCGGGTCCCGGCCCCTGCAGAGCAGGCTCTGCCCACCTGGGAGATGGCGCTGTCCTCACCACCTTGATAGATGTGGTCCGGTACATGCTGCTGGATTCACGCCCCATGTCCCCCAAACCCCGCCACTCTGGGATGCCTCTGTATGTCTTAGTGTAGGGGTGTACCTGCTAGTTGCTGACAGGTAGGAGTTTGTTCTGGGGGGCCATGGGGTAGGAAGTAGAGAAAAGAGCATCCTAAAAAGAATAAAATATAGAGCAAGAGCTCTCCCCTGTCTCTGTCCTCAGCTGACCCAGAGTTCAGAGTCTCTTCCTGTCCCCTCCCCTCAAAACCACTAGGCCCCTGAAGAGTTCCTCCTGGGAGGGAGGGTGAAGCAGGTGGTGCAGAGCCTTGAAGCCTGAGACTCTTGCTTTTCTGCCGTCCCCAGCCTCCACCTGAAGCCACAGCAAAGACCTATGAAATCTGCCATCCAGCCACAAAATTCCACCTTCCTCCCCTGTGCCTGCTGTCTCCATGGTCTGGTGGGGCCACTGGGAGGATGACAGCAGCCAAGAGCAGGGCTTTTCCTGGGAAGGAAGGGCTGTTTCACGCTCTAGCTTCATGGGGTGTCTGCAAGGTGCCCAGAGGGACACCCTGTGCCTGGAGAGTGCCAGGGCATGCAGGGAGGGGCTCTATCCTCTGCTGGGTTCCAGGAAAGGCCTTGGCAGGCCGCTCAGGCCTGAGCTTCAGGGCCTTTAAGGGTGGGGCTGTTGGAGGGACCCTAAGCTGCTAAAGTGCCTCACCTGGTACTCAGGCCCCAGGCGCATTTGATGGTGTGTGGCCCGCTCACTCTGCAGCTGAAAGTGAGACTATGGATACCAACCCAAGCCTGAGCCAGGACCACCTTCCTGCACAGCCAGCACCCTTCCCACACATCCTATCACCCAGTCAGATCACCAAATCCCCCAGAGTGAAGTACCTTGGCTGCCATCTACACCAGACTTCAATCAAATGTCTGAAATCTGCCCGTGGTGTCCCAGGATGGCTGGTGTTAGTGATGCTCTGGAGTGGTGACTGGGACATAGTCCTTCTGGACACCACCATCTCCATGTCCGGTCACCATGGGAGACTAGAAGTGACTGAACTCATACCCCCCTGATGCCCACTGTGACCCAGTCCCCCAAACTCCTAATGAAAGGTGAGTTATTTTTAACTGCTTCCTCTCCTCACCATCCTAAATATCACCAAATCTGCAGATCCCTTCCCTCTGTTTCTTGTATTTTAAAATGTTTGTTCAGTACCTCTCTCATTCTCTCCTTCCTCTCCAGCCCAGTACATTTCACCTTTGGCCCAATTTGCCACACTGTCTCCCCAGCCCAGGTTTTCCCTTCCTCCTCCACACCCTGCTTACCCTTGCTGGAATAATCTTTCTCAAACACCAATTACTGTGTACGTTATCAACTTCAGACTCCTCAACCAAGCACTCTGGGTACACCAGCTGCTAACCTTTGTGTTGCCTGTGAATGGATCTAGATTTGTTCATGGAGGGCAGCAAATGTTCCTCATGTGAACCCATCCAGTTGGTCACATTCCCTTCTCATCCTTCCAAGTCTGTCTCCTGACTTGGTCTCCCCATTCCCACCAAACCTAGTGACTTCCCAATGCTTACTTGGGCCCCATTCATTTCTCCTAAAATTTCAGAGGAAGCTGCAGAAGAGAGACATCCAAGTCAGCCACAGGGAGTTTGTGCAAGATCCCAGCTGCACCTTGGTGCACAGTGGACTGAGTGCACCTGCCTGCTGGGAAGCCAGAGGGCAGAGGGCAGAAAGGAGAGCTGTGCAGACAGAGGTTCCAGTGGGATCTTGTCCTTGAGAGAGTCTAGCCTGCCTTGCTGTGGGGCCCTAGTCCAATGGTCATTTTCTCCCCCACACACTCAGAGTAATCCTGGCCCCTGCCACCCAATCTTGACCCAGGTCAAAATCCACCCCCCACCAGAAGGATCTGAGAACCTCCACGCCATTTTGATCAGTTTGTCATCAATAAATTCCCTTTGAGCCTTGTGAGTTGCCTTCAGTCTTTTCTATGTTTTATTGCCTAACCATGTCCTATATCATTTTCTACCCCTCTAATGCAGGGACATGCGTCTTTTTATGGGGAAGGGCACTAGGACCCCCAGAGAGTCAAGTCTGGATCCCAGTTCTAACACTTAGCTGTTGGGCCTTGGGTAATCAATCTCTTAACCTCTCCGAGCCATTTCTTCATCTGTAAAAGGCGTTAAAGGATACTTGTCTTGAAGAATGAGGGGTAAAGATCACAGAGACTACAGAGTGCCAGGAAAAGTGCCTGCTGCATGGCCAGCATACAAGTTTGTCTTACTCCCCGAATGGCTGGAGCCTTCTGTGAATTGGGGGACGAAGTGTGCCTTAACTCCTACCATTTCAGAATACTTACACGTGTAAAGGGACATTATTAATAATTACACCAGTTCCAGGGACATAACCTGGGATACATGGCCTCTCTACCCGAGTTCACGACAACCGGTGAGGGCAGGCTTGGATCGAGCGCGGTAGCCCAATGCCTACACATAGTGCCGAAGCATAAATATTTGTTGAATAAACGAGTGAACAGAGCTGTCCCTCACTCAGTTTCTCCAACATCGGCGAGTGCAGAAGCAAAGACTAAAACGCCCGCCCCCACCCCCACCCCCACCAACCCCACCCGGTCCCAAAGCCCCGAGCGGCTTCGATTCCCTAAGATCTACAGCCCACTGCCCCGCCCCCGGTTGTCTTGGAAGCAGTGACGTAACGCGATGGGGCGTGGCCTCTCTCCATCCTCTTGCGCAGCCGGGGCGGCTCCTTATCGCAACCTTGGTGGGGGGAGGATGAGGTTGGAGGCCCTCGACCCTCCGGGCCCCCTCCGGCTCGGGATCACGGCGCCTTCCAGGCAGCGACATGGGGCGCGCGCTCTCCTCGCCATGGCGAGCTAATAGGGGTTCGGAGAGGGCCGGCCTCGGTCCCTCCACCGTCCATCCCCGATGGGCCCCGAACAGCCGGGCGGGGCGCTTGGTCAGCGCCTTCCGGGGCAGCCCTCGGGCTCCTGCGCGTCGGGGAGGCGGGCAGGGAAGGTGGGAGCCCGAGCGGGCGCGCCCACGCCGCGGAGCGCGGGAGAGAAGGAGTTAAGCAAGGTGCCGGCGCGGGGCGAGGCGGGAGTGGAGGAGGGGAGCGTAGAGAAAGTGAGAGCGGGGGCGGGGGGGGGGAACGGGAGCGAAAGAACATCCTGTGCCCGCCGCCGGATGCGCGCGGGGGGAGGAGGGAGGCCCGGGAAGGAGAGCGACGTGCGGGGAGGCCCGGTTCGGGGAGGCGCGGCCTCCGCCCCCCTTGGCCTCCTCTGGGGGTGCTGTCTCCCCCTCTGGTGCTTTGGCCCGGTCTCCCCCGGTCCCCACGCCTTCGCCGGGGTAACGAGCTATCCGGGGGTCTCCCGACTCTGGTTCCTGGGCCTGGGTAAGCGCTAGCCCGGGAAGAGATGGTCTTGGAGAGTGTGGGATCCGCAGCAGGGCACGGGCGCCCCCAGCCTTTCGTTTCCGGACTTTGCGGGTGTGTGTGTTGGGGGTGGGGGTGGCCTCTCCCGTGTTAGGCGTCTGCTGTACACTGAGAGGAGCAGCACCTTTCCTCGGTCAGTCCTGCCGGCAGCACTTCAGGTGGAACATAGGTACTAATAGACTTAGGTTATGCAATCTGTCCAAACCCCACATTACTGGGATTTGAACCCGCGCCGGTCAGACTCCAAAAGCCTTTCCATTGGGGTGTGGGGTAGACCAATATTCATGTGGCTTTTAAGCGAATGAGGCCCGGAACGCCGCAGGGTCACCCAGGGTAATGGCCTAGCGGGATGTCTTTCGTCGCAGGCCCCCAGTAGCATCCCGGGTTCTAATTAACGAGGCAGAAACACGCATGGCCAGGGCATTGGTAAAGAGAATGAGGAAGTGACTAGCCTTGGGGTTTCACAGGTGGTTTGATAGTTTTTAGGGGCAAAGTCAGCACCGAGGAATGGGATGGGGATGGTGCCTCTGGTTTAGGGTTTGTAGGGTCCTCTAGGAGGTCTCAGTTCAGGGTGCATTTAGGTTGGCCATCTGTGCTCTGCTGCCTTCTCATGCTCTCGGTTTTGCCCAGGTGGAACCATAGTCAACATTTATGGAACTCTGTGTGCTGGGCACTGATCCAAGTGCCTAACTCTCACAAACAACCTCATGAGTAGGTCTTAGTCCCATTTTACAGGTGGGGGAAGTGAGGCACAAAGATCACTGAGCTAAGTGGCTGAACTGGTTTTGAACCCAGGCAGTGTGTCCCACACTCCTATTAGCTAAACTAATCTGCCCTGAAGGTGATGAAAGCAGTAGCCCTGGAGAGTGAAGAGCTGGTACAGATGGCACAGAGCTGTGGGTTAGGGCAGCCCACATCCTTTCTTGGTGGGGCCAGGTAAGGAACTCCTGGCCAGCTCTGTATATATTGGCTCTCAGACTTCTCTCTGGCCCATGGTTTCAGATTTCTGGATGTGACAAAAAAACAAAACAAGAATATAAAAGCCAACTTCCCAGAAAGAGTTGCAGCTTTTAAGAACATTCAAGACACACCTACCATCTATTATCATTTTGTAAAAGTACATTCTAATTCTCAAAATAGAAACATTATCTGAATCAAAACAGTCATTCCTGCCTGGCCTGGTGACGCACACCTGTGGTTCCAGCCACTGGGGAGGCTGAGGTGGGTGGATGGCTTGAGCCCAGGAGTTGGAGATCAGCCTGGACAACACAGTGAGACCCGTCTCTAAAACAAAACAACAACAGAAAAACCTCAGTCATTCCGAAGAAAGGAGTCATTGACTTTACAATGACAAATAGACATTCCTCTGTTTTTATTTTTTCATTGTGCCCTGGACTAGTGAAGACGTTGCTCTGGGAATTCCTCTACCTCTGCTCACTCTGAATCATTTGAGGGCAGAACCAAAAAGAATGGGTTTTATGCACAGCCACAGTGAATCAGGTTACGGCCAAGGCCAAGAAAGCTCTGTTTTTGGAGGTCTTTATAGAACAGGTGAGTGTGTTTGGTTAGGAGGTGAGGGTTACATAATCAACTCTGCAGGATAGAGTGGGGCAGGAATTTTGGGTCTCAGTCTGGATAAGGGCAAAGCAAGGACCTACTAAGGGATATAGCCTCAGATCCACCAAGGTGGTCTTGAAGCCAAGGGGTAGTCTTTAGTGCCTTGGTAGGTAAAGTAACTTGAACAACCAGTTCCCATTAGGCAGTTGCCCTGAATGCATGGGAAGTGATGGGTGGTTTCATAGAGGTGAGGAGGCATCTGTGGGGCTCTGCTCACCCCTTATTGTGGTCACTCACCTGGTAGGGTAGAGTGCCAGGAATGACCTATAAGGTGGGCTAAGGATGGAAGGGAAGGCAGGAAGAGAATGGCTGCCCAGGAATGTGACCTTTTCCCTGCCTGCAGCCTGTGGTGTGATGGGTCCAGCAGACTGCAGCACCTTTGAGGATGCTAGGTCTTTGTTTCCTTTGCACCCAGGACCCAGAGCCTCCTCTCCCAGTTCTCCCAACAGTAGCCCAAAGCCAGGCAGGTTCTGCTGCAACCATACTCAGTGCTGGGCTGACTCTAGCTGGGGGCTCATCACCTCCCTGTTGTGTACCAGAGAGAGGCCAGAGAGTATGGGAATCAAGGAAGGGTCTGTTCTCACCTGCTCCGTCCTCATGATAGAGATCAAAGCCTTCAAAGTTGGCTCCTATGCTCTGGGGTGATGGCATTTTGTGACTCCAGAGGAGGCCTCAAGTCTCCTCCCACTTGTGGGGAGAATGAGAGGTAGGACTCACAGATGTAGGCACTTGTGGCTAGCCTGGAGTTTTGTTTATTATTGTTTTGGTGGTACTGGGGTTTTGAACTCAGGGTCTTACTTGAGCCATACCCCTCCCCTTTTTTGCTTTAGCAATTTTTCAGATGAGTTCTTGAGCTTTTCCCTGAGCTAGCCTCAAACTGTGATCCTCCTACCTTTGCCTCCCATGTAGCTGGGATTACAGGTGGGAACCACAACACCTAGCTCCCCTGGGGTTTTAGAATGGAAAATCTGGACCCCTCTGGTTACAGATGCAGAAACAGACCCAGGCAAGGCAGCGCCTTCTCCTTACAGGATTGCTCTGATCAGATGGGCCTGGAGTCTCACTTTCCAGACCCTGTCATGACTCTGCCCTGAGGTCCTCAAAAAATGATGGGAACATAAGCACCTACTAAGTGCAAGCCTTGGTCCTCAGGGCTGGACATGCAAAGACAGCTGCCTCAAGGCTTTTCACCGGACAGGCAAAGTCCCAGACCACCTGCAGAAGTTGCAAAATGGTGGATTTGACCTAGACTTCAAAACGTTATAAGGTGCTTCCTCCTTTTTGCCCTCTGATGGAGTGAGGGACCCCTGAATGAAGAAACACCCAGGCCCAGGGGTGGTTCCATAGGGAAGAGATAAAAGATGGGAGGTCCAGAGAGGGTAAGGAATGGGACCAGTCAGCACAACCCAAACTCCTCTTCCAGAAAAAAGCCCCCCCACCCCCAGCCAGAGATGGCCTCTGTTGCCCTCTACTGGAAGAAAGGGCAGCCTCGGGAGCTACTTGCCCAGCCCTCCCACCTGACTCCCCTAAAGAAAAAAAGTGCTAGGGGTGGAACTCAGGGCCTGCAGATGCAAGGCAAGCCTTTGCCTGGAGCCCCATCCCCACCCGCTCCTGCCTGTTTCTGTCCCAGATCTCCAGCTTCCTTGCAGCCTGCAAAGCTGAACCTCTCTCTCCCTGGTGGGCCCATTTCCTGATTGCTGTCCTCCACCCTGTGGTTTCCTCAGTTTCCTTTATTGCCTAGGTTCCAATTCTGGTACCCTGGTTCTTGGTTCTGCCAGAGTTCTGGTTCCGGAAGGCCTCTCCAGGTAGGCCTGGGGCCTAGCTCCCACCCTGGCGCAAGGCAGCGCTGAAGATATGGGCAAGAGCGTCCCCCAGTGCCTGGGGCACCTGGACCTCCGCAAAAGTGTGGTGGGCCTGGCCACAGGCGCCGGGGCTATCTACCTGCTCTACAAGGCCATTAAGGCCGGTTTAAAATGCAAACCACCCCTCTGCACTGCCTCGCCCATCTGCATCGCCCGTGAGTGTCTGCTCCCCGGGGAGGGGGCTCTGCCCCAGGAGGCACCTGCTCCTGAGGCCTCCTGTGTGGGAAGGCCCAAAGGTGACTCCTTCAAGTTCCTCTCTCCCTCCTCTCCCTTTTCTCCTTGTTCCTCAGGCCTACCCACAGCACCCCAAGGCCAGGCCCTACTAGGAAAGCTAGTTTGGGGTTTCTGGGTAATAGCTCTCACTTGGGAACCCCCTCCTACAGTTCTCCTCTGGTGGGTCTCCAAATCCTACATGGACTCTGGCTCCCAACACTGCTTCTTAGAAACTTGTCGCAAGCACTTTCTCTGTCCCTCTCTTGCCTGGGGACTGGGGACTTTAAGGAAAGGAAAAGTTGAGGACCTATACCCAGAGATTCCCCTAGTCCATATGATACAGAACAGGGGGCTCCTTCTGTGAGACCCTTTATTGCCATTGCTGAAAGATCATTGCCGCGGGCTGATTATAAGGAAACGCTATCTGTTACTGCCATATGCAGAAAGCTGTGATAGTAAATAGACACATATGACATCATGACACAGACAGGACAATATTAGGTTTGTGCCCTGTGCACTATACACCCCGTACAACTGTACAAAGCAAGAAGACTTCTCTTCAGAAAAGTTAAGGCAGTTTGGCCCCAGGTCCCTGTCCCCAATTTCCCACCCTCATGCTTTCATTACTTCTGAGTCCACAGCCTGAACTGGGTTGGGGTGACTATCTAGGCCTGGCAATCGAGCGGGAGCGACACGGGCGGGACTCGGGTGAGCTCCGGAGACTCCTCAACTCTTTGGAGTGCAAGCAGGATGAGTACGTCAGGAGCATGATTCTACACAGCATCACTCGCTGTGTGTACTTGCTGGAGGCTGAGGTGAGGGAAGCAAGGGAGGCCAGCCCAGGCCCTGGGGTTGTAACTCATCCCACCTCTTCTCAGGCCAGACTGCATCCTGAGACCTCTCTGGCTGGTGGTGGGAGGGTGTGCCAAGGGGTCTTGGTGACATGGAGGGGCAGTGGGTCCAGGACACCCGCCCCTCCTTCCTCTCCCATCTCTCCCCACATACTGCAGGCCTCTGCCTGTACTGCGGATGACATCATGTTGGTGGGTGACATGCTGGATGACAAGGACAACAGTGTCAAAATCCAAGCTCTGAACGCACTTAAAGCTTTCTCTGGCATCAGGAAATTTAGACTCAAAATCCAGGTGAGCTTTCCAACAGGCCGTGAAGGCCTCTGAATGTAGGGATAAAAGTGAGCAATGCATAGTGACATCTCTAAACCCCAAATCACAGAAAGCCCTTAGAGGTCATTTGACACCAATCACCAGGCACCAGCTGCCTGCCCCAGGATTCAATTCAGACCTGGCCATGCAAGGTTAGCATATACCAACAAGTTAAGGACTCAGTCCCACAATGGTCCCCATTTCCCATCCAGTGGATAAGTGTGATTTCTGACTAACTGCTTCTAAGTTTGGGGGTTCCCCAACCCCCTTCCTAGACTTGATAATTTGCTAAAGTGACTCCCAGAACTCAAAAAAACACTTATGTTTATCAATTGATTATAAAGGACATAGTTCTGGCCAGGCATGGTAGCATATGCCTGTAATCTCAGTTACTGGGGAGGTGGATGTAGGAGAGGATCAACAGTTTGAGGCCAGCTCAGGCAGTTAGTGAGACCACATTGAAACACAAACAATAGAGTGCTTCCCTAGTGTGTGTGAGACTCTGGGTTCAATTTCTGGTACCTCCCCCTTCAAAAAAAAAGAAAAGGCACCATTCTGGAACAGCCCAATGAGAGAGATAAATAGGACAAAGTGTGGGGGAGGTGGGGTGCTTCCTTGTGCTCTCCAGGCTGTCAGTACCACCAGAAGTTCAGCTGTCTGGAAGCTCACTGAAGCCCACTGGTTAGGGATTTTTTCTGGAGGTTCATTATGTAGGCATGATTGATGGAGCCCTTGGCCATTGGTGATTGACCTCAGTCTCCAGCCCTGCCCTGCTCCCCTCTCTGGAGCTCGGCCAGGGTTGAACATTCCCGCACTCTTGATGTGGTGAAACCCATTCAGCCCCCACCCTGCTGCTACTTAAGGGCCACCAAGGTAGAGGTGGGGTGACATGCTCTCACTCCTCCATTGTACTGTGCCTGGGAGTCCTAGGCAAGAGGCCCAGCTCAGCAGGTTCCTCTGGGTCCAGCCACGCACCCCTGCCAAATAAAGAGACAAGGGCAGGTGAAGGCAGGGAAAGGAGGCTTGTTTCGCAGCCTGGGCGCACCTCACGCCTCAGGAAGCAAGCACTCCAGTCAGCCATCTTCCACGTGAGCTTTGGGTTTAAGTAGAGGAAGAATTGGGGCAGCGTGAGAGGTGTGCACAATTAAGCAGTCCCTGGTTGGTCATTATCTCAGCCCTGGTTCTGGAGAAGTCACTATCTATCCCTGTCATCCCTTGAGAGAGCAATCTGGTCCCCAGGAGGCGATTACTCCTGCTCCAGGGTGCAGCCTCCTCGTTATGGGTCATTGTCCTCATTTGGGGGTGGTCTGTCCTGTGAGGTTCTCTGTTCCTTTCCTTGGGGGCAGTTTCATTCCCTTGTCATAAAGATGTTATCAGTCAATCCTGTCCTTCCTGGAACCTAGGGTGACTGCAGGGGAGAGACTCAGAGCAAAGGAAATGCGTACAAAATGGAGGCAGGGATGCTAACTTCTCTCCTGCTTTTAGCTCCCTGTGGGTCCAAGTAAGGAGTCAGTGTTTTTGAGCAAAGCAGTTTCTAAGTTCCTGTTTTATTAAACAGCAATACCAAAACACTTCTTCCTTGATTCAAATCTCCCTTAAGCAAAAGGTCTCTCTCCCCCAAATTAAAAAATAAATATTTAAAACTCATAAACTTGTTGTATGGGTAAGGTAGAAAGAATAAAAATTAAAACAAGACACACATCGCCCACCCCAGGCTGGGAAGCAGAATATGACCACAGTGGTGCCCTCCCCCACCCCACAGGCTCCCCTGCGCTCCCTGATTTTCCCCACAGCCTTTGTCATTTCATCATATGTGCATAGATCCCCACGTATTTGAATATTTTGGCAGGGCAAGGAAGGTAAAAAGGTAAAATAATAGTTTTGTTTTGTTTTTTCTTACAGTGCTGGGGTTTGAACTTGGCCTTGGGCCTCATCTACTGCTTGAGCTATGCCCCCAACCCTTTCGTTGTTTTTTCTGTATGGTCTCACCTTCATACACAGGCTGGCCTGGATCCCAGCCCTCCTATATATGCTTCCAGCATGGCTAGGATGGCAGGTGCAACCACTCCCAGCCATTGGTTGAGATGGAGTCTCCCTAAACTGTTTGCCCTGGCTGGCCTTGAACCTAGATCCTCCCAATTTTGGCCTCTGGAGTAGCTAGGATTATAAACAGGAGACACTGCGCCTGGCTAATTTGGGATGTTTTTAAGCTTCATGCACATGGAGATATTGAGGCTTCTACTCTTTTGCGTTTCTCCCCTCTTCCCCTGAACATTTAATGATTCATCCTCACTAGGCAGCTTGGTTTCCTCCTTTTGGTAGTGGGTAACTGTGTTTCCTTTTTTCTTTTTCCTTGCTGGGGATGGAACCCAGGGCCTCCACATGTCAGCCCCAGGCCTTGCTTCCTTCCCAGTGTGTGGTGATGTGTTGTGTGAATACCCTACCACTTGCCCACTGGTGAGCATTTGTGTTGTTCCCAGGTGCTGTTGATCCCCACGTGCATGAGCACCTCGTGCACACCTCCTGGTGGCCTGGGAGCACTCCTCGAGGTGTGTGTGCAGGAGTGGGAGGGCTTGGTCAAAGGTGTACCCAGCTTTTCATAAGTGTTGTTCCAATGTCCACCCCCATCAGCCCTGCACCCAATTCCTGCTGAGTCATACCTCATCAACATTTGAGAACTACACACCTTTTAATGTTTGTATCAAACTTTTTTGGAGGAAAAAGTCTCAGGTCAAGTGCTATAGTACACATTTGTAATCTCAGCACTTGGTTTTTATTTTAATTTTTTGGCAGCACTGGGATTTGAACTCAAGGCTTCATGCTTGCTAGGCAGGAGCTCTACTGCTTGAGCCATTCCACCTGCCCAATCTCAGCACTTGGGAGACTGAGGCAGGTGGGTCAAGACCGTATCTCAAAAAACAAACAAAGTTTCTAGGTATCCACTTGCCAGCTGCCTCTATTCCACCTCTCAGTGGTCCTTTGGGTCCTATCAGAATCTCCCAGAGAGATTAGGGGCCCATTTTACAGAGTTTCATTTAACAGGGGAACTGCATTTTTTACAAGGATCCCCCCTGGAAATTCCAATATGGGTGGCCTGGGCCTCCCATCTGTGTCCTCAGGACTGACCCCTCTTCTCCAGTAAAAGTCCTTGCCCTTGGTTCCCATCTTGATGTGTTCTCCTGGTCTCTGAAGCCTGGGGCCTCCCCACTGCTTCCCCATGGCCAGCTGTGCCTAGACTTAGCCACTTGAACAGCCCACAGGTTCCCTAACCCAACACATCCAACATAGAGCTTCCTCCATTCCTGGTCACACTCCCTGTTTGGGTCCTTCTTGAAGCTCTCGGCATGACACTGGGATACCCCTCCTTGCCTGACACCAGCCTTCTAACCTGTGTGCTTCGTGCTGTCTCACCCCCGGGCCTTTGCACCTGCTCTTGGCTCCATCTGAAGTGCTGGCTAACTCCTACCTGTCCTCCAGGTCTCAGCAGACAGTGAGGTGGGCAGGGAGCACTGGTTATTGATGGAACGCCGCTTCCATGCCAAGAGGCTAAGGCCTCTTGGCCTAGGCATCTTGCATCTCAGCACCCAGTGTCCCTCTATTCGTGTTACACCTGTGTGCTGAGTCCTCACTCTGTGCTGGACACTGGTGTACACCCTAAAGACAAAGTTGTGAAAGAGCAGGAAAAGTCCCTGCCCCTGTGGAATTTATATTCTATCAGGGCAAGTCAGGCGACACACAAATAAAGAAAATACATAGCCTGTTGCACATGTTAAGCCCTGGAGACAAGGCAGGAGGATAAGGAAGGACGGGTGGTGAAGAGTTTGTGGCACTAAAAGCATGCTACATATAAGAAACAAAAAGATAATTTGGGGCTGAGTGTGGTGGTTCATGTTTGTAATCCCAGCTACAAGGGAGGTGGAGATGGGAGATTGGACTTGAGGCCAGTCTAGGTGAAAGTGTGAGACCCTGTCTCAAAATGCAAGCCAGGAGTGATGAGATACACCTGTAATTCCAGCTATGTTGGAGGTAGGATAGGAGGATCTGGGTCTGAGGCCAGCCTGGGCAAGACCCTATCTGAAAAATAACTAAAAGGGGTGGGATTATGGCTCAAGTAGTAGCATGCTTGCCTAGTAAGTACAAGGCCCTGAGTTCAAAACCCTAATACTGCCAAAAAAAAAATTATAGGTTGAACTTTATTGAAATGAAAAACATTTGCTCCAAGAAAAACCCTCTTAAAAAAGATGAAAAGACAAGTGGCAGAGTGGGAGAAAATATTTGCAAACACTCATCTGACAAAGGACTCACAAAGATTATACAGACAGCTTTTAAAACTCAGTGTTAACAAACAAACAAACAAACAAAAAACAGGGAGGCACATATAGCTCACATCTGTGATCTAGCTCCTCAGGAGGCTGAGAGCAGGAGGATCTTAGTTCAAGGCCAGCCCGGGCAAATAGTTTTCAAGACCCTGTCTCAAAAAAACCTATCACAAAAAAAAAAAAAAAAAGTCTGGCAGAGTGGCTCCAGTGGCAGGGCACCTGCCTAGCAAGGGTGAGGCTGTGAGTTCAAACCCCAGTACTGCCAAAAAATAAAACAAAAAACCCTGCAAAAAAACCCAAGCAATCCAGATTGAAAATGGGCAAAAGATTTGGAAAGTTTTGCTGATAAGGACACACAAATTACAATCAGCACACGAAAAAATGTTTAACACCACTGGCCATTAGGGAAATGCAAAATTAAGACCCAATGAGATGTTAATATATATTCCTATTAGAGGACCTAATATCAAAATTCCTGAAAATCCTAGATGCTGGAGAAGATGTGGAGAAACTGAATCTTTTCCTGTATTGCTGGTGGGACTATAAAGTGAAAGAGCAGCCACTCAAAAAATAGCTTGACAGTTTCTTAAAACATTAAAATATGCATTTAACAACCAGCTTTTATTCTAGAGAATGAAAATTTACATCTGCACAAAAATCTGCTCAGAATTGCTCTTAGCAGCCTTACTTGAATTAGCCCCCGAACTGGAAGCAGCCAAAATGTATCTCAATGGGTGGGTGGTTAAACAGACTATGGTATATCCATACAATGGAATACTACTCAGCAATAAAAAGAAATGAACTTTTGATACATACAACGTGGGTAGATCTCAAAGGCATTGCACTGAATGGAGAAAAAAAAACAATCTCAAAAGGTCATATGAAAGGGCCAGGTGTGGTTGTATATGCTTGTTATCTCAGCTATGGGAGGCAGAGATTGGGAGGATGGTGATTTAAAGTCAGCCCAGGCAAAAAGTTAGCAAGACCTTATCTCAACAAACTGGGCACAGTGGCATATGCCTGTAATCCCAGCAACACGGGAGGCACAGGTAGGAGGATCATGGTCCAAGGCCAACCCCTGTACACACAAAAGTCCAAGATCCTATCTGAAAAAGTAATTAAAGTAAAACATAAGTGGGGGAGTATGGGTCAAGTGCTAGAGAGCTTGCCGAGTGAGCGTGAGGCTCTGAATTCAAACTCCGGTACTTAAAAAAAAAAGTCACATAAAGTATGATTTCGTTTATATCACATTCTCAAAAAAATTACAGAGCTGGAAATCAGATTAGCATTCGACAGGATTCAACCCTAGGAAGCAGGTGGCAGTGACTGTAAACAGGTCCCGTGAGGGAGGTCATTGTGGTGCTGAGATGGTTCTGATGGACTTACCTACTGATGGTAGGGCAGTGACACAAATATGTACTTGGGACAAAGTGACAGAACTCCAATACCATTTCCTAGTTTTCAGACGGTCTATAATTATGTAGGGTGTGACCACTGAGGGACATGGTGAAGTGCACAGGGAACCTCCCTCCCCTGTTTCTGCCACTTCCCATGACTTTATAGTTGTTTCTAAATAAAAGTCATTAGTTGCAAATCAATGATTTATTTAAAAGCAAAGACATGTTTATTATGCTGGAAAATAAAGTGAAGATGGAGGGCACAGAAGCGTGGGGTGGGGGTTAGGGAAGGCGGCATTGAAGCGGAGTCTTGTGGCAGGTGGGAGTGAGTTGTGAGTGTCTGAGGGAACAGCGTTGTAAGCAGAGGGAACGGCCTGTGCTGACGCCTTAAGACAGGTGCGTGGCTGGCACGTTCAAGGAACAGCTAAGAGGCCACTGTGGTGGGAACCATGGGAGCCAAAGAGAAGACAGGAGATGAGAGGAAACAGAAGCACAAGGAGAAAGAAGCATGTCGTGGGGCCTGTCCGCCACTGTAGGAACTCAGCTTTTACCCCAGAAGAGCAGGACTTTTGGGCACAGGAGCCATGTGTCTAGCACTCGCTCTTCTGAGGACGAGGACAGGGACAGAGGTGGGGGACAGGAAGCTGCTGAGAAATCCAGGTGACCAATGATAGCAGCCTGGAAGTGGGGGTGGTGAGGAATGGTTTGCCTTGTGATCGATTGTGAAGGGAAAACCAACAGGATTTTCTGAGGGACTGAAAAAGAGACGAGAGAGAAAACCAAGAATCCACAAATTTTTTATTTAATCAATTAGCAGGTTTGGGGAATCGTGTTAACAGAGAGGTCTATGGACGTTCGGGAGAAAGGTGGAAGTGGCCGCGGATAGTGAGCCTAGAGTTCAGGCCAGAGACTTGAACTTGGAAGCATCTTTGAATGGACAGTGTTTAATTCTGTCCTTGAGCCACTGAGGGAGTGACGGAGACAGAGAAAGATTGAGCAGAGCCAGGAAAGGAGACTGAAACAGAACTCAAGCAAAGAAAAGTTCAAGGGGAGCTCGACAAAGCCAAATGATGTTTAGAGGTCAAGTTCGGGAGGGCTGTGCGTTGGATTTGGCACTGTGGTCCTGGGTGGGGCAGTGGAGAGTGCTGTGGAGGCTGGATGGTGACACCCTCTCTTCTGGTCCTTCCCACCCAGGAGCACTCCATTAAGGTGCTGGAACTGATCTCCACCATCTGGGACACGGAGCTGCACGTCGCAGGCCTGAGACTCCTCAACAACCTTCCGCTGCCTGACTATGTTCACCCCCAGCTGCGACGGGTGATGCCTGCTTTGATGGAGATCGTGCAGTCAGACTACATCCTGGCACAGGTGACTGCCAACACAGCAGCAATCCCGGCCCAGCACCCAGAGTGAGGAGTGAGGCCCAGCCTCACCTGTCTTCTCATGCTTGACTCTTTCCTTGATTCAGGTGCAAGCCCTGCGACTACTGAGCTACCTGGCACAGAAGAATGACCTTCTCTATGACATTCTCAACTGCCAGGTGAGGAACAGACTGCAGAGAGATGAAGGATGCTGACTCAAGTGTTGGGGAGGGAAGAAGGATGTTCTCCAGACAGACTCAGCCCTGATGAACTGCTTCACTTCTCTTCCTGCCTTTGCCCTAGATGCACTGAAGAAGTCCCATTCCCCTGGTAGAATGAGGGTCTGCTTGTTGGGAAGGGCATTCGCCTTTGAGGGGCTTTCTGAATTCTGAAAATTAGGAGCATGGGAAACAAAACAAAAGTTAATTCAGGTATTTTAATATTGGAGAAAAGCAGCTAATGGTAAAAAGCATTATGAGAACTAGAAAGGGTTACTCTGTAATAATTGGTGGTTTAGTTCACCACAAGGATAAAGCAACTCCAAACTTGTATGCACCAAATAACATAATCTCAAAATATATATGGCAAAATTTGATGAAATTATATGGAGGAGTGAACAAATCTATCACCACAGCAGAAGATTGAGAAGATTTTAATATCTCTTTCAGCAATTGATGGATTAAAGAAAACCTGGAACTAGTAAGGGTATACTTACCCTTACCAGCAAATAACACAAACTCAAACTTAGACATACCTAGAACACTCTATAGTTGTTAAACGCATGTTCCTCTCAAGCACACATAAGATGTTTACAAAAAGTAGCCAGATAAGAAGCCTTAAAATTTGCCTCAACAAATTTCCTAGAATCCATATGATTATCAAATCACTTGTGTTTTATCACCACAATGTAATTAAATTAAAAGTGATGATGCAAACTAAGACCTATGGCTATTAGAGAGTTGAAACAATAGGAGAACAGAAGAACAAGAATTTTAGAACTTGCTTGGGAATTCCATTCCCGTTCTCTCTCCATTCCCACATCACAGGTGCACTCCAACTTTCTGAACCTGTTCCAGTCCACACAGCCAGGAAGTCTGCTGTTTGAGGTACTGGTATTTGCTGAGCGGCTGAGTGAGGGCCTGAATGCACCCCACTACCGGACTGTGAAATGGCATTACAACGAGCAGTCCCTGCATGCAGCCCTCTTTGGGGATGAGTCAAGACTGGCAGACCGGCTGCTTGCCCTGGTCATCCACCCCGAGGAGGAGGTTCAGATCCAGGCTTGCAAGGTCATAGTCAGCCTGCAGTGTCCCCAGGACCTGGGACCCCGGCAGTCCTCCTGCCAGTCCAGTCATTCCTACTTCAAAAGTGGGGAATAAAACAAGGAGAACCAATAAATGCATATGGGAGAGAAGCTTGAGACTTCCTGAAGATGGAGTGTCTGTCTGTGGCCTTCCAGGGCTGGGTGGAGATGTCCTGCTCCAGAGCTGGGAAAACCTCCCACAGTCCACCCCATGTCCATGTCTGAGGGACTGACCCCTTCTTCTCTCACTGCTTTTCAAATGTGAATGTGGAGCTGATGCTTTTGGGGAGGTGGGAGAGGGAGAGGGACTTGGTTTAAGTATCCCCTCCCCAAAGTTGTGTGGGTTCCCAGGATGATGGTATTGGAAGATGGTGTAGACCTTTAAAGGGTGGGACTGGTGGGAGGGTCCTAGGTCACTGTGTCCTTGGAAGGGATTATGGGACCCCAGTCTCTTTGTGACTTCCTGTTTGGTGACGTGATGCTTCCTCACACATGCACTCCTGCCATGATGTGACACTATCCACTGAGGCCCTCACCAGAGGCTGACCCAATGGGGCTTGCCTCATGTTGGACTTTGAACCTCCAAAACTGTGAGCCTAATAAACTTCTCTTTCCTCCATGAGTACTTTACCTCAGGTATTTCGCTGTGGTAATGACAAGCTGACTAATTCAATAGGCTTAGGGACGGAAACCTAAGATAATCAACAGGAAATAACACGTAGCATTGAATTAGTCAGGATGGGCAAGACTAGACACAGTAACAGACAAGCCTGGGATCTCAGTGGCTTAAAAATGGTGAAGGTTATTTCTTATTCATGCCAACTGCCCATTGCAGTTCACTGGGGGGTGTGGGGGGAGCCACTTGTCATCCTCGGGGACTCAGGCTAAGGAACTCCTTCACTGTGTTTCTACTACTGTGAAAGAGGGAAAAAGCAGGACTAACCGACTCAAAAGTTCCACCAGAAATAATGCTTAGCACTTTGGCTCATATTTCATCAAAGTAGGTAGGGGAGATCCATCTTACCACATGCCCAAGGAAGAATTGAAAAGATTTGGTGACAGCATTAACGACCGAGAACAAGAGACTTACTGGGTAAGAGTGAGAATTCTGGAATTTGACTGCTGGGTTCGAATCCCAGCCCTGTCACTTACTGGCTGTGTGACCTTGGGAGACAATTAACCTATTGTAGCCTCAATCCCTGCCTCTACAAAACAAATGGAATGAGAGTACTCACCTCATAAGACTGTGGGAGAATTTTGTGATGACGTGAGTTCACGTGAGGCACCTTGTTCTGCAGGCAACCCTCAGCGGCAGGTCCTGAGCTATGCAGTCATCATTGGGAAGATGGAAGATGAACACAGAAGGGTCCTTGGAGTTGAGTCTGGTGTTTCTGTATTCCCTTCAGATTCAGGCTGGGGTCCATGTCCCAGAATCCTTTATGAAAAGTCACTGGAACTTAGCCTTGCGGACCAAAGCAATAGTATAACACCATAACCCTGAAGTCTCCAAAAAAAACTAAAATTGAAGCCATTTGCAGTCTGCTATCACTCAATTCAGGCAGCAGAGCTCATGGGTCCCAGTGTTCCTCAGATGCAGGACTTGAAAACTAGTCCAGAACCAACCCTGACATTTACTGAAAGGAAAAGAAACTCCAAAAGGAAAACTGACTTGCAGCCAGGTGTGCTAGTTCACGTCTGTAATCCCAGCATTTGGAAGGCTGAGGCAGGAAGACTGTGAGTTTGAGGGTGGCCTGGGCTACACAGTGAGACCCTGTCTCAACAAACAAAAACCAAAGAAACAGAATTACAGGATTAGAATCTTCTAGTCCTGGGCTTTTTTTTTCCTCTCATATTCCTTGGCCCCCGCCCTATGAGTACGGACGGTGGATTCTAACTCGGAAGCTGGGGATGTGGAGAAGGACCCGGATGCTTCTGGCTCTAAGGACCCAGTTACCACTGAACTGCTGAAGAAATCTGGTCCCTCAGTCCCTGACCCAGGACCCATGTCAACTTGGTGGTGTTGGGATGATAGAGGCTGGTTGTTGATGAGGAAAGAGCCAGTTTCCTACAGAGGGACCATCTGCATCTCTGTCCCCTTGTCACCTGAGTGGGTAGTCACTGCCAGTTCTGACTCAACATCCCCATCTCTATCTGGGTTCAGGCCTCGGCTGCTCCTCTTGCCGCTGTGGCCACCCCAGTGGAATTTGTCAAAAGTCCACATCATCCTACTCACCCTCAGCCAGCCCCCAAGTGTATGTCACTGGTGAGGCCCTTTCCCTCCTGTCTCCATCCTGACTGGCCTTCCTCACTCCCGGCTCGTCTGAGAACCCGTGGGGCACCATCCACCAAACCCACAGAGCCTCCCAACTCTCACAGTTCCAGCCTTAAAGAAAGTCACATGATCTGATGAGCGAAAACTCCTCTCTGGGGCTGGGAATGTGGCTCTGCAATGAAGCATTGCCTAGCATGTGTGGGGCCTTGGGTTCGATTCCCAGTACCACCAAAACCCCCAAAAGTACCCTTAGGCAGGCAGCTTGAGTTGTCTTCTCAATGATGCGGCCACTGGCCCACTCTTCACAGATGACCCTTGTCCCTCTGCAGCCCAGCTCCTCCTCCCACTGTCTGGCCTCTGAGACTTCTAGAAGCTCCGGCCTTAGCAGTCTAAAGTGTGGGTCTTACACACCGGTTCTTTCTTTGCAGTAGGGCACATCCAGCCACTCACTGCGGCCTGGAAGGAAGAGCTACAGCCACCACGAGGGAGCCAAGCACACCACTCCCGCACATGTGCGTGGTGATGCGGTGTAAACAAACCACTGTGCAGCCAGGGGTGTGGACATACCACACCACGATCATGCCAAGTGCATAATACTTGATGACAATCACAATTATTTACTGGTTTATGTATTTACTTTTTTCTTTTTTAGTGGTACTGGGGTTTGAACTCAGGGCCTTGCACTTGCTAGACAGGTGCTCTAGCACTTGAGCCATGCCCCCAGCCCTTTTTTGCTTCCATTATTTTCTGCAAAAAGGCTTGCCTTTTTGCCCAGGAGTCAGCTTCAGACTGCGATCCTCCTATCTACAGCCTCCTGAGTAGTTGGGATTTATAATGTGCCACCATTTCCAACTGATTTGTTGAGACAAGGTCTTGCTAACTTTTTTGCCTGGGCTGGCTTCAAACTGTGATCTTCCTGATCTCCACCTCCCAAGTACCTGAAATTACAGATATGCACCACCTTACCTGGCCTCTGCTATACTTTTTTTTTTTTTTTTAATGGTACTGGGGTTTGAAACAAGGCTCCAGCTCCAGTCATGCCTCTAGCCCTCTGCTATACTTGTGTGTGTGTGTGGTACTGGGATTTGAACTCAGGGCCTACACCTTGAGCCACTCTGCCAGCCCTTTTTTTGAGATAGGGTCTCACTATTTGCCCAGGCTGGCTTCAAACCATGATCCTCTTGATCTCTGCCTCTTGAGTAGCTGGAATTATAGGCGTGAGCCACTGGCGCCCGGCTCTACTATACCTTTTAACCTTTATTTTCACGTGGACTGCTTCTACTTGTTTTTTTTTTTTTAAGGTAAATGTGAACTGAGTAGCAACTTCAAAAGAATTCCATAAGAAGGAGTCATTCTCACCACGGGTGGCATGTGATGCCTCACAGACCTTCCAGTGGGACAGACATGGAGGTGGAAGACGGTGATTCTGATGACTGTGACCCTAGACTGACTCAGCCTAGGCTGTGTCTTAGTTTTTAACAAGCATGCTAACAAAGTTTAAAAAATCTCAAATTTTAAAAATAGAGCAAAGCTTATAGAATAAGGATAGAAATAAAGAAAATATTTTATAGCCACAAATGTGTTCATATTTTAGGTTCAATGTCATGACAATAGACTCAAAAGTTAAAACATTAAAAATTTATAAAGTAAAAAAGTTATAGTATGCTAAGTTTAAATTATTATTGAAGAAAGAAATTTTCATAAATTTAGCTTAGCCTAAGTGGTCTCCAGTAGGAATGTCCCAGGCCTCCTTCACAGTCATGCACCACTCACCCAGAGCCACTTCCAGTCCTGCCCTACACGGGTGTGCAGTTTTAAAATCTTTTATTTTGTTTTTACTGTGCCTTTGTATGTTTAGATGCACACACGCTTTCCACGTGTGACCTTTGTCTGCAGGAGCAACAGAACATCCCATTGGCCTGGGCGTGTAACAGGCTATGCCATCTAGGTTCAGGAGCATCTTGGTCAGTGCAGCTTTGCCCAGGGCTGCCATCACCTAAAGGCTTGACCAGGGATGGAGGCCCTGTTTCCAAAATGCCTCACTCTTCTGACTGGCCAGTTGATGCTGGCTGATGACAGGCCTCAGTGTCTCCTCATGTGGACATCCCCACAGGATGGTGGAAAGTCTCAGGCCATAGCACCTGCCTTCCCAGTTCTAGTCATCCAAGAAGCAGGGCAGGAGCTGTAACTCCTCTTCTTTAATTTTTTTGGAATAATTTGTTATTCTAGTAAAAGTATAAAGTGTAGAAAATTTGTGTATTGAATTATTTCAGAGAGTATCTCCTGAAACTCAGGGCTCCGCACTTGCAAAGCAGACGCTCTACCACGTGAGCCACACCTCCAGTCCATTTTGCTCTGGTTATTTTGGAGATGGGTTTCCTGATCTCAGCTTCCAAATAGGCTTACAGGCCTGAGCCACTGTTGCCCAGCTGACTCCTACTTCTGACATACAGTGTATGGTTCCTGTGACACTGCAGTCATTTGGTTTATTTCTCTACATTTTGGGAGTGCCACAAAACATACCCTAAAGCCATGAGAGGTGTTCATTGAAATCATGACTGGGGGCTGAGGGTGTGGCTCAAGTGCTAGAGCACCTGCTTTGCAAGTGTGAAGCCCTGAGTTCAGACACCAGTCCCACACACACACAAAAAGGTTGGTGGTTTAAGAGATAGAATAAAAATATAGGGACAAAGGGAGAAAGCCCACAGGAGGCCACATGGACAGTTGAAGGTGCTGACAATGGACCTTCAGAGCAGGTGCCCAGTCTTGATCTCCCACCCTGCAGACTGCTGACCTGAGGATTCCAGGTGTGACTTAGGTGTTGACAATCCAACACCTAATCTGGATGGATTAGGAAGGGCAGAGCATACTTTTTGTTGTTGTTGAGAGGGCAAATATAACAGGCAATAAATTTGGTGGCACCTTCCTGGTCCCAAGATCACAGCAGAATGTGTGTTCCTGGAGCCAACAGGTACAGTGATGGCCTCTGACTCCACCCCTTCCTGCTGGTGGCAGAGAAGTCGCTCCTCTAGGAGCTCAGCTCTGCAGTTTTCGGGACCCATCCCAGGAAGCTCGGTCAGGGTCCTGTCCTCCACTCCTTTCAATGACATTTTGAGCACCCAGCCATCGGTATCACACCCCTTCTGCAACTGACTCTGGCTATAATGCGTCTGGCATAGGGTAGGTGCCACTAAACTTATTTATTGGATAAATGAGTGAATGACAAACGAATAGACAAATGGAGTCAGTTAAGATGTCCACAGTGAGCTGGGCAGACAAACCAGCTGGACTCAACAGAGTGGCAGAGCAAGGGATAGACCAGAAGGGGGCAGTGAACACA